AAGAGGGCGGGCCAGGGTGGAGGCGATGCGTTCACCCTGTTACCGTCAGGTAACGTCAGGAACATCACGTGCTGTAAGAGGCGGTTGTCTGAGGAGGCAGGCGTTGGGGGGCAGCTTGGATGGAAATTTCCACATTGGCGCCGTGGTCTTGCTGGGAGCATAATGGTGCTTTCCAACTACGTCAAGGCCAGAAAAAGAGGAAATGAATCTGATTTTGCGCGGCATGTGGTGACTGCTGGCTTACGGGGAATTCTCCTGCCTGGGGGATGCCACCCATCTGAACGATGGCGCAGACCGAGGCGGAACCATCACAGGGGTCATGCACAGAATACTTGCTGGGTGCCTGTTTCCTCTTATTTTGCAGATGATGCCTACAGAGCTGGCTATTTGTTTTCTAAGAATCTAGCAGAATCACAGCACTGCAGGGAAAGTGGGAGGAAAGGACCATCTACAATCAGGAGTTTTTAAAAAGCTATGCAGAGCTGTCCTAAAATCCTGAAAACATACCATATAGAGCCATTTAAGGAAGGGTCAAGGGGAGCCTATGATGTCACTGGGCCACATCTTTGTCATAATTCCTATTTTTGATGATGACCCTGTTTAGAAAACTGTGACTGTCTTGCTGTATGAAAGCAGGGACACTGGAGTCACATTTTTTTTAAAGTTCCATCCAGAATGGTTGAACTAGAGAGAAGGTTGGGGCATTCATAAAATTTGGTAGATGAAAACTATTTCACTGTTCTTTTTTTTCTTTTTATTACTAAGATTAAGGGTCTTTTCATTTTTTCTGTTAATTGTCCATTTTTCTATAAGGTGGTGGTTGTTTTTCCTATTGATTTGTTAGTGCTCTTTACATATTAGGGATAATAGCCTTTGGTCTATGATTTTTGTTACACAGACCACCCCCTCCCCTGATCAGTTTGTTGTTTGGCTTTAACTGGTAATGAGGATTCCCCCTTACCCCTCCCCGGCCCCATATCAAAGATTTCTGGGTTTTGCAGTCAGATTTATTGGTCTTTTTCTTATGCCTTTTGGGTTGAGTCACATGCTTAGAAAAGCCATTTGCCATTTGCCACTAGTTCCAGATAACCGAGGCTTGACCGTATTTAGAATCTGTGCCCATTACAGTTGCTCTATGAAGTGAGATGGTGTGACTGTCTCTGATTTTCCTTTTGTTTTTGAGACAACTTCTTTTCACCCTAGAGTTAAGATACGAACTCAAAAACCATCCAAGCCCCTCCCTCCCTCCTGGCAGGTTCTTAGTGGCATTTTTCTTTTTTTTAAGTTGGATGGGTGGCATTCTAAAGAGACTATTTGCTGACAACAACAACAAAAAAAACAAGTTTGGGCTAACTGCAAAACAGGTAAGACAAGAAAGGTAATTCTCAGGCAGGGCTGCCTTCTGTCAGAAAGGCAAACCTGGCTGACTGGCTGGAACCTGTCCAGAGCAGGGCCCAGTCTCAGTGTGAACTCTTAGGCCACTGTGTGCCTGGGGATGAGAATTATCTTTGGGTTTTCCTGCCAGAGTTCTCTCGCTTTTGTTGAGTTCATGCAGGCAGATGGAAACGTTCTAGAAAGAGGGAGGAGTAGAACCAGCCTTGGCGCTTGTATCTGAGTGCCTGGCTCTCGCCACATAAACCTGGGCAAGTCTCTGGGCTTTCCTGGTGGCCTCGGGCCGCACCAAAGGCACCCGTGAGCCCAGTGTCCTCTGCAGGATGGGTTGAAACCGCTTCAGCTCCCCTGGAGCACCTCCTGTTTGCCCAGCACCTGGGGGCCATGGAAAGTCAGGGGCCTGAGCCCAGCGCAATCGAGTCACTCATCCACAGTCCCACGAGAACTGAGGCCCGAACCCAGGAGCTCTGCCCTGCTTCT